CTGGGCTCTTCTGGGTCATTGCTTCATTCACTCTCTGAGCCAAGCCATTAGCAGCAACTGAAGGGATTAAGGGTACAAATGGTTAATCAATTAACCCACTAGTCAAGTTTGGCAGCTTGAACCCCCCCAGAGATGCCTTGGAGACAGGTGCCTGGCAATCTGCCTCTAAAAGCTCACAACCTTGAAAATGCTATGCAGCAGTTCTACTCTGCACATATGGGATCGTCATGAGCTGGAATTTACTCGATGGCAGCTGACAACAACAAAATCAAAACCAAACCCAATGCTGTCAAGTCGATTCCAGCTCCGAGTAGGACTGCTCCAGAGGGTTTTCTAGGCTGTAATCTTTACGGAAGCAGATTGCCAGGTCTTTCTTACTGCTAGATGGGTTCGAGTCACCAATCTCTAGGTTAGTAGTTGAGTGCAAACCATTTGTGCCACCCAGAGACCTTTAATATAAGTTGTTGTTGGGTGCTGTTGTATACAGGTAGAGGGGAACAAAACAAAGAAGATACTACCATTTTGTATCCCGAGAAAAACACACACACTACATTCACAGGCATCTAGGCATTTAACAATTTTAATGCCTAAGTTTTCTTTTTTTTGAGAAAGACAAGGAATTTGTTTGCAAGTATATTAAACAATGGCGTCCTTTTATTTACTACAAGGATGATTTCACCTTCCTTGAAGTTCGGACGTTAATTTTACTAATTTGTACACTAACTTTACTCATTAACATATTAGGTTTGGAGAGGAACAGGGGTTGAATTTTATAACAAACTCTGTGCCTTAAGCAAGCTTGGGGCTAAACATTGGTATTTATAAAATTATTTATGGTTTAGCACCTTTACAAGAAGATACTGTACTTTATGAGGAATATTCATAATACTGTTTCAATTCTGACTTTTCCCAAGAACATGAATAACAATTTGAATTGCAAAAATTCTGTTTAAAAACAACTTTTCAGGAACACACAAACTGCATAAAGCAAGGCACACATAAATTACTAAGTCGTGTGGCTCTTCAACTATCCTGCTTTAAGCATCTTTATTTAGAACATTCTCTTCATTAGAACTGGGACAACCTGCTGTCAGATTACAATGCCAAGCAAGTCTAAGAAGAAGTTAAATATCATGGACAGCTGCTTTCTAGGCCAGTGACTGCCTCGCACAGTAACAGATCAACCCACCCCAGCAACAGGGCCTGGTGCCTGGCAAAAGCTCCACTGAGTCAGGGTTCCACTCTGGGTACACTGGGTACACTGCTTCACATCCTCAGGATTTTATTCCTAACCATCTAGGGAGAAGTTTTAAGAAGAGAGCCCCAATCATTTATAAGAAAAAATACTCTTAAACAAAAACTTCTACTTGGCATAGATATTTCAGCACCATAGCCAATAGCCTACTTATTTCAGGCAAAATTTTATACAAGAAAATTTCAGGACAACGAAGGCATCTGGCTGTTTCCTTAGAGTTTATGGTAATATCTGGCATGCACGTATTCATTGTATGTGAGTGGGAGCTTATGAAAACTATAATACAACAAATATTAGATGCCTCATGAGTCAGAATCGACTTGACATACACCACCACCACAAGGAGGACAATGACCAGCTTAACTCAACGATCCACTGGGGTGAAGTCCAATCTGCAAAGAATACTTTGAAATTCTCACATTTGAAATAATTGATTCAGATTCACTTTTCATTTAAGTAGGGAAGGTAAAAGGAAGAGAACTAACATTTATTGAAGGACCCGTATTTGCCATGGACTATGTCGGCTGCTTAACAGTCATTTCTTCATTTAATAATTTCCCCATTACCTGATGAAGTAGGTATTTTTATCTCATTTTCCAAATTAGGAAACAAAGGCTCAGAAGGTTTCAGTAACTTCTCTGAGGTCACAGGCTTATTACAGAACAGGGATTAAAGCCCCTTTTTCCCTGAGTCAGAGCCCTGGAATTCCCCACTGTGTCATGGTGCTACACACAACTTTTTAAAAAAGGATAATGGTATCACTACACACACACACACACACACACACACACACACAGCATAGAACAATTAAAGAAACTACTAGTTTAACTAAGAAAACAAAACAAAAAACCAGTTCACATTTTTCCATGCTCACAGTTGCCCATGACATACATCACTAATGAAACCAAATTAAGATTTTCAACTTGTCCACGAAGTCAGTGAGTAGTTTCAAAGGTATTTCACTACCCAGAGCCGAGAAGAGTTGAAAATATTTTAGCAAGAACCATTTGAGGATTTGTAAAAGAAAATCTAAAATGTGTTTCATCATCTTTCCAAACTTCTACGTCCTAGAATTGTGTAAATAAGACAATGAGGTGACTTTGCATAAAACAGAAGCTTAGCATTTTGCTCCCTAAATTCCTGCACAGCACATTCCTCTCTATGAAGACTCCACTGAGGTCCACATTTGGTTGGGGTCTTTTTGCTAAGTGTTCTGATGATGTGCGAAGCACTGACTTCTGTAGGGAAGATGGGCTACAACAGTCAGAAAGCAATCCTGCAGACCAGAGAACGAGACAACCACACTCCAGAACTCACTTCTCTTTGGATCACCTTATGTTCAGGTTGGGGAGCAAAACTGCCCTAGCATTCTGAAATCAGTCATATGATAAGGCTGTAACTGCTGAGAAAAATTTATTTTCCAGCAGTGACTCAAAAGTGAAATTGGCAAGGTGAAATTTCCAGCAGGAAATCCCGTATCATTATGCACTGTTCCATCTAAAAATGTATGACTGCATTCTAGCATTTTTGAGGAATATCAGATAACATAGACATAAAAAAAAACCCAACTTCCTACTGTCATGATGACTTGTAATTCATTCTAATTATTGAACACCACAAGAAACAATAACGATTAAGTGGAATAAATTAAAACTGGTGCTAAAAGGAAAATAAAACAATGAACATTCTTGGGGAAAATCAGAAACAGAAGAAATAGCTATGAATATAACCTTTCTTTTTTTAGGGTAAATCTGGAATTTCCAAATAAAGAAATCCACAATACCAAGCATTGCACAAAGATGATATGAATAACAACTGTTCTGGAACATCAGCCTGAGCTGCTGATTTTTAACTTATCATAAAGATGACATGGCAGTCCCCTAATTGAACCGGTAAAGATATTTCCAGGGCTGCTTTAAAGAACTGCAATTGACTAAATATGGTCTGTAAGCTGTATTAAAGGTGTCCTTTCCCAAACACATGAAACCAGTTTTTTGTCACCTAAAAGGAGAATACAAAATCCCCTGCAATCTTAACATACGTTGTTGCATTGCTCTGCAAATTTCTTTTTCACAAATGTTGGCAACATAATCTTCAGACAAGTCAGTGTCTACTAATGAAGTTCCACTGCGGTGTAACAAAACAAAAAAAGTACTGAGTTCTCTAAAAGACTTTTTACCCTTGACACGCCCAAGATATTTATAATAAACCAAGTCATTTCCTGGTCTCTGAAAAATGAATACGCGTTCGCCTTGACAATCGTTCTAGTTGGAAAATATACAGACTATTAATGTAAACCACTCCAACTAGCAGTCAGGCTTAAGGAGAGAGTTTGGGGGATCATCTTTTTGGCTACAAAGAGGAGCAGGGAGACAGGCTCTAACGATGATTCTGTCTTATGCCCGGCAAGATATTCAGTCATCATGTCTGAATGCTTGTTTGCGATGTATTTCATGAAATGATTTTTTTTTTCCCACTACAGTTTCTAACACCTATACACTGAGAGAAATGTTTGAAGCTATGTAGTATAAAACATTTCTCTTTTGCATATAATAAACCGAAATATCACCAGTGTTTTTTCTTCTGTACTTCACTTCCATTTCACGGCTGCTACAAAAATGATGGTCCTCAAACTTGACTATAAAGGAATGATGTACATTTAGCTAAATTAATATCATTTTTTCATTTTCTTTCTGGAAAAAGTATTCTATCCTCAACTCGAACATCTGCTTTTTGCATACACAAGAATTTTCCCAGATGCTAGTATGAAAAGTCTGCATGTATATTTTGGTTTTCTGTCTAAAATCACATTCAGAGATGATGTTCCAATGTTAGGCTGTAAGTCAGAATTGCATGACCACACTTAATATAAAATTTTATTGATCTTGCTTATCCTTTATTTTAAAAAATTAATCTACATTTTCGTAGATGAATGCTTTCTCAGCTCTTTACCAGTTTGCTTCCCGCCTAAGTGGCAGGGTGGTCACTATCATCATTAGAACTGCGTCAAATTCTACTGTAAAAATATTTTGGGTGATGTGTATTACAGTACGGAAAAAGGATGATCACACCACAGAAGCAGGCAGCAGGGCTCACCCAACGACTGTTTCCAGTGCATCCAGACCAGTTCCTAATCCAGTGATCAGAAGCAAAATTGCGTGGGTCAAGAGTAATGGCTGGGCCCACTCTACTGACCAGTTCTACTGGGCTACAGGCTGCTCATTTAGAGGTATAGCTCTTTTGACATGAACAAACTTTCTTCCCTAGACATTTTTAAAGAGGTGATTCTTGATAACTGTCATGCATCCACTTACAAAAAGGGGCTCTAATTTGCTAAGCACATACATACTTTCGCAAGAAAATTAAATTGCTCCCGAAAGTATTATGCCTACATTCAGAAAATAAGATGGAAGTAACTGCTGAGTCTGTTCTGGGATGCTTATGCAACCTATATTTACATATGCCTTACTCAGAAACAAGAAGCTTGGGGACTTATAAACAACTACAGGAATAGCTCTAAATTGTTTTTTTTCCACTGTCATGTCAGTCTGGCTATTACAGAACTCCAGAATGCAATCTGCAATCCACTACAGCTCAAAACATTATTATATACATGTATAATGATATAAAGTTGCAGATCTCAAAAACATCATAATTCAGAAATACGGTCAAGAAGAACACTTAAAAAAAAAAAAAAAAAACAGTGGCCAAGAAGAACATTAAATAAACAACCACCAGCACCAACCTTTGCTTGGGCCTCTGGTGCGGTCACTTTGACGACTTTATTGCGGTTTATCATTTGCTTCACCCATCTTTCTACTTGGACATTGAATTTCATGAAAAGCACATAGCTGAAATAGGCTGTTAATAGAAGCAAGCTCTCCCACCACGTGATAACATTATCCAGGAAAAAAATGATCAGCATGATCAAGTCAACAATGTAGAAGGACACATCCCGAAAGAGTGGCCACCATGTCAGGTTTAAGATTTCTCTGGAAAACAGAGCACACATGCCAATAACAAAGAGGATGTTGAACACTGCTGAGCCCACTATTGTGCCTATGCCAACGTTGCTGTGCGCAATAAATACCCCTATGAGAGATGTGAAAAGTTCTGGGGCTGAGCCTCCTGCAGCCATAAAAGTGGCTCCAGCCACATCATCAGAGATGCCCAGTTTTTCAGTGATGACAGTCAAAGAAGGGACAAAGAACTCATCGCAGACAATGGCTAAGGCTATGAACATGTAGATCATTCCAATGACATGGAGAATGATGGCGCCTTTTCTTCGATCCTCAAGGGAAAAGATGTCTCTTGGGTAGTCTCCTTGGGCATGGTCTGTGTTATTCTCAGATTTGCCTTCCTGAGGAAGAGGAGGCTGTGGAGTGTAATCCCGAATCTTGTCATTTAAATCTAAGAGAGTTCTTTGACGGTAACCTTGCACTATCCTAGGACCACTTACACGACTGGCTTCTCCTGTGCTCTGTGTCTCTATCTCAGAAAAGGCACTGATTGGAAATGGGACAGTGCTAACAGCCACCAGGCCGATGAAAAGGCCTAAGATTCTAATTAATCTCAGTTTTTTCCTAACATTACAATGTCTCCTGCAGCCAGAGGGTAACTCATCCACACCCCACTTTTCAAGTAATGTGATGGTAGTGCTTTGATGCAGATCCATCCTGGGTCTTCTGGTGGATATGATAGTCTTCAAACTTGAGTCAGCCAGATGGTTCTTTCATACCTTTCCTCACTTTCTAGTTAAAGGTGCTTGTGGAGCACTTCCACAATCAGGGATTCTTATGCTTCACAGGAAATATTTTCATCATTTATCCTTAAATAAAAAGTAAAAATGAGAATCAGTAAACCATAAAATCATACGTCTTCTTTACAAAAAGAACTTGGCAGATATGATAAAATCCAATCTGGCAACTGTGTGACCTTGAGTTACTTAACTCCTTGGTGCCTCAGTTTCCGCATTTGAAAAAATGAGGACAATTACAGCATCTACCACCCAGGATTGTTTTGAGGAGAAAATGAGTGAAAACATATGAAGCATTTAAGGTAGGATCGGGCACACAGCAGGTACTTACCATCGCGTGCGTAAACGGAAATACGCATTTTGGTAAACCCAGTATTAGCAATAGGCTGTGTAGATGTGTGTGAATCCAAAAATTTTATAACTGAAAATCCACCAGTTCATCCCACCTTAAATCATGTAACAACCTCCCAGTGATAAATGATCCCGATCCCACTTCTCCCAGACCTATCTATGTGCTTGACAGCCAGCAGTTATTCATTTTGTTTTCTTTTAGCTCAATTATATAATTTCCAGTTGCAGGCAAACTTTTCTCATTTAATCTAGCATTTGGAAAGAGTTGCATGTTGGAGGAGATAGTGCTCTTTTTCCTGAAGATACAAAGATTCCAGGATCTTATTTTTCATGAAAAAGCCTCTCATATCAGATGCAGAGAAGTAGCCTTGTGAAAATTTAAGTGTATAAAAGAATGTTCTGGAGACACGGACAAACTGGGTCCCTAAACATCTACATACTGTTTATGGCTAAAGTTTTTAAAATAATAATAATAATAAAACTTTAGTCATATTTAAAACAGACACGAAAACACCCCCTAGGTGACCTAGCACGCTGTGGTGAGCATAACAAGTAGGCTATTTCAAGAGACCAAATACATATTTCATAAACAATATGCAAATTGCAGCAACACCTCTGGCCACAAAATCTGCCAAAAATAGCCCCAACACTGTCCCTCTAGTAGGTTTGATATGTAAAGCAGAGTTTTCATTCTCTATCCCACAGG